AACAAACCTTTCTTTACTAGCAACAAACCAAGTAAAATGCTGTGTTTGCAACCCTGTCCTCCAAAACTGTAACGCAGTCTTTGTATGTATGGGTGCACATGTACTTATACACCAGCAATTAGACTACAAGGCAAGTTGAGACACTGCTCGCCAGCAATTCAAGCACTGTGAGTCTCACTTCCATTTTGTGGCATCTGTGGTTTAGACACTGCGACACTAAGCCCTAGTTGTCTTTTTTAGAAGGAAGGGCCTTCAAAGTATCTAAACTTCAAAAACTAACAATTCAGGGGCCAGGGAGATAGCTCAGTAGAAAAAGCACTTGCCTGGCAAGTGCAGGGGCCTGAGCTCAATCACCAGTTCTGAAAAAAAAACAAAAAAAAAACAAAAAAACAAAAAAAAAAAAAACTAATAATCCATAGCATGACAATTCTTCACTTACACATTAAAAGGACATACAGGGCAATTACAAAAGACCGAACCATCTCCTTTAAAAGTTTCTTGCTCTTACATGTACACAATGTATTGGACCTTTGTGACAAATGAGTATAATGGTTCTTGTAGAACCACTTGACAACAGCTTAGTCAAGGTATTGAGGCAAAGAAAGGGCAACTATGGAAAATTACGAAGATATTTTGTAGAAAATATAACCTATTATAAGTTCTGAAAATTATACATTTCTCTAAATGTGTCCTTCACCTTTATGATCCCCACTAGCATGTCTTCTCTCCTCAAAGGCTGATCATACAAAGGAAGAGAACCTTGTACTTTCTTCTAAACAACTCCTAGGCCAAAAACTGAAACAAACTATCTAAAACTCCTTTCCCTAAAAATCTTTCCTTTCCATGTAACTCAGCCATGTGTGGACAGCGTTCTTAAGAGTTTCACTATCTTTCTTAGAAATACTCCATTTTATTTTGCACCCAAAATAAAAGCCACCAGTCACAACTAAGAAGTAATTTTAGGCCTACCAAAGTACCTACCTACTGAGTAAGAGTCTCAATTAATTTTTAAATACACATTTCTAAAGCTGAGAAGGTCTGACTAAAAGATACAGTTCTATTTCTCAGAGCTAACTTATTCCGACATTCAAAATTCACATTATAATGAAAGCTGTAAGCACTCAAGGTTTATTTTAATGTAACTTTTCATCCAAACATAACACCTTATATAATATGAGGGCCAGGAAGATAGCTCAGTGGCGTAAGTAACTGCCTTGCAAGTGCAAGGTCCTGAATTTGACCCCCAGTACCGCAAAAAAAAAAAAAAAAAAAAAAAAGTAGCATTATATAGTATTGTATTGAAAGTGTTACATTACACAAAGCAAACCATGGGGCATAATCCAAGTTAATGATCAAACATGAAAAGTGGGCTCCCTTCTAAATTTTGGTTTGGCTATTTTTTTTAACCATGTCATTCTGCTGCTTAAACATTACAATGTTTGTGTGGCAGGCATATGCTTCAGATACCATTTTAGCATCAGAACAATCAAGAAGCCACACAATCCAGGTCTAAGAATGCCAGCATTAGATCTGAAGTTCAAAATACAAAGGGATAACCTAGGGAAAGGATTCTCGGGTGATATAAATCATACTAATCCTTCAATATTAAAAGCTCTAAAAACATCACTTTACTGTATAAAAACAAGAACGATTAGTCAGGTGTGTAGGTAAACGTTCCCCCAGATAACTGTAGGTAAGCCCTTTGCTGAAATTCGGAATACTACCATTAATGACTATCGTGGGCAGGAGTCCTGATGAGTACCATTTTTTTTTTCTTAATCTCTCTATAACACATTCACCAAAGGAATAAACCTCCATAGTTTAATGCTTTCTTTCCAATAGTGCTGTATCTATTTTTGGAGGTTTGTTGTTTTTTGTTTTTTGGTTTTTTTTTTTTGGCCTACCAGGGATTATACTTGGGACACTGCCTCTTGCCAGGCAGGTGCTTATGCCTTTAAATCTATTTTTATTTTATAAAAATATTTCAACAGTCAATTAATATTAGCTTCATGTCAATACTTTCTGCATGACCAAAAATATTTGCAATAGGACAAATCGAAAATTTTGAAACAAAGCCTAACTTAAAATGAATGTGTTTAAAACTCTGCCTTTTCATGAAAAACTGAAAGAACGATAAGCAACTAATACCTGACTAGAGGAGAAATTGGTAACAAATGCAGTTGGTTGTCAATGTTCTAATTATAAAATTGCCAATTAAAATCTGATGTATTGCATCTGTTCTAATACAAATTTCCATCAAAATTTTAGTAGGTAAATTCCATTTGACTATGCTACAGACACTTTAGTAATATTTAATGTTTATTTTAACATGACAGGTACTACTGTGTTTTACATATATTTTTCATCTCATCCTGTAAACAAACCTATTAGGTCCTGAGGGATGTTTAAGGGGGTTGTAATTCATGCCTGGCTTCCAGGAAGCTGACACTGGTGGCACATGCATGAATCTCCCATAGAGCAGTATGAAATAGTATCACTGGGTGAAATACCATTTTCATGTACCACCAGTGGTACGAGCCAGGGGAAATGTTTATGTTAGGTAAACTTGACCAAAGTCATACAGGAAATAATCTGTGGATCTACAATTTCACCAATTAATCTAACTCTTGATGTGCTTTGCAAATGGTAAAATGTGCAAATATAACCTGTACTAAGGGCATAGACTGCAAATTCTACTAGCTACTGAGCCTGATTACCTTACTGAATTTCCTAAACTGCATTTTTCTTTCTTTAAAATAGGAGCAATTAAGAAAGAGGTGTTAGGGCTGGCCAAATAGCTCAGAGGACTAAAGCGCCTAGGCAGAGCACAACAGCTGGGGTTCAATCCCAGGCACGCAGTGTCCACTGTGGGGCATGCTGTAACTGTGATTGAGACTGGGTGTGGTGGCGCGCACCTGTAATTCCAGCACTCGGGAGGCTGAAAACAGGAGAATCACTATGAATCCAATTTACATAGTGAGACCCTGTAGACCCTGTAAGACCCTATGGTAAATACATAGGGGAAAAAAAAGAAAAAGAAATAGGTGTTACTACTTAGTACTGCTGATGAGATTAGAAACATTATATATGTAAAGTTAGTAGAGTATGTGACATACAACAAGCACTCTACAAATGTATTAGCTATTACTAATAATTTTATTTTCACAAAGATATCAATGGTATTTTCTAAAGTAAGACCCATCAATATTAAGATAATGCAAGTATGTGAAATTAAGACTAAAAGTCTCCAAGTATATGACAGAACAAGCGTAGATGGAAAAGGCTACCACTTGGTTTAATACCATTTTCAAACATATTTAAAGTGTCCATGTATACATGAAAATGTACCAGGCATTTTAAGAACTTTTCAGGCAGTTTGTGACATTAAAAAAGTTAAGCAAACTAATCCTGCTAAATGGGCATAAACAGCAAAAATTCCAACTTTGATCCTTTCTTCAATTTCATACACCTACATTTGTTGAATTATTGCTGATCCTTTTAGCTTTTAAAGTGAGAGAGGAAAGAACAGTGTAGGATGATTTTGTCTAAGAGCACCACCCATTACGCTGCATGTATCTTCAACTGGCTTCAGTAGTCATGCTACTTGAAAAGATCCACAACTTCACAACAAGGCATGATACCACTTATGTCTATTTCCATATATGTATATCACACCACCAATGGAGAAATTCTTTTCTGTATCTATAACTACCTGCCATAGCAAAAGCATGAAACTTTGTTACTGCACCCATGACTGTAAAGCAAACTAAGAACACATCATCAAAAAGCAATATAACCAATATTTCCTTAAAAACATTTTTGAACAATAAAAGCAATCTGTCAACCAAAAAAAAAAAAAAAATAGCTCAGATATACAAAATTAGACTTCAAAATTAAGGCTGATTTACACTTTTTTTTCAAAAGTTTTCCTCCTAAAGGATTAAAGAAGGGAAGAAGAAAATAGAGGCGTCAGCAACAACCACCAAAAACTCAGAATAAGTGCTTGCCTGGCAAGTGCAAGGGCCTGAGTTCAATCCCTGGTTCCACAAAAAAAAAAAAAAAAATTGATTTAACTGAAGGTTCTAATAAAATACTAGTCCGTTGTCAGCCAGAACTTATCCAGGTCTTACTGGCACCACCCAAACTTAGAAATTAAAATGCAAAGCAATACTCATTCCTGTTTGCCCCTCTCTACCACACATTGCAATGGATATTATCTTTAAATAATAAGTTGAATTCTATTGAAAACTTCTTAAACGATCAGGTAAAAACAAAAGTAGACAAACCTTATAGCCTGAGACAGGTATTTATATAAAACAAGCAATTTCTGAAGGCTCCTTATCTATATCATTACTCCTTATTACAACAATAAAGTTATATAAATATTTGTTTATATAGCCTATATGTAAAAAAGCTTCTGGTACAAATTTCTCAGGTCTGTTTTCCTCAAGCCTTAGCCTCTGAAATGACAGTAAAAGTAAAGACAAGACCAGAACTGATAAGGAAGAACTAATACTTTTCAAGTTTTTGTTTGTTCTGTTTCTCTAAAATGGCCCCAGTACAGCCTCTGTTATGTTTGCCACGATCCATTAATTTTGCTATTATGAAATGCTCCCAATCTCTCTAGGCCTTTCTAATTTAGGCAAGTCTTAACACAGTGCAATTCTTTCTGTTCACTCATATGAAATCTTTTGGTCTCTGGAACCCTGGTTTTGTCCTTCTAAAGTCTTGTTCTGAGGCCCAAGAAGTATTAAAGAGGCGACATCCTGTAAATGGTTCTGCAGAAATGGGTGGATAGAGTAACTTCCAGCAACTGGGGTCCCCTCCTCCAATATCAGGCTGTTTTTCTTCCTTCCCTATAACATTTAACAAGAGAAGCAACATGGAAAAAGACGTGAAGGGGTGCAGAAAAGAACTATTTCAAGTTTTTTAGGAGTCCTACTATCTTCTTACTAGTTTTTTGTACCTAAGTCTGGAAAGTCTTTTGGGAATGTCTTGTGTAGAAGAATTACATAAAAGATAACAACTTGAAAAAGTCAAACATACAGGTTTAATAATGTGCAATAATGAAGATGGTTTATAAATGAAACACCACCTACACATTTAGTCCCTAAATATGTTTTTAAATTAAAGAAAAATCATTATTCTATTTCTTAAAAATAAAACTACCGGGATTTAATTCAAGCATCTGCTCAAAATCACTAAGTAAGTTTAAATTTGATAATAAAACATTTTAAGTTTCAACCAATGCACCTTTGTTGAAGCTCATTTAGCTGAAATAACTTTGAGTATGGTTTATTTCCATCACATAGAGTACATTTTTTTCCCAAACAAGAGCATGTACATTCAATATAGAACATTTCCAGCAACAATTACAGTCTTTCTAATTTCCTTTCACAGTATATTTTAGTGCAAAGCACTAAGAAGGGTTAATGTTTTCCTAGCTATAGAAGCATTTTATTATGACCTTGTGGATCGTCACATTCTAAAATTTTATACAAAAAGTAAATAGATAGAAAGGGTCCCTTGTAAGTACAGGTGTGAACCTATACAAAAACATGGTATATTTTCTGCTGTACCTTTTAAATTATAATTTGACACATGACTAAAAAATGAAGTATTCCCTAAAAACTACAAAATATTGATGCACAAAAACCTGCCCAAAATTTCATATAGATGTACTTCTGTTTTTCCTAAAATCTTGATTACAAAAATGGACAAGAATTCATTATTTTCTAAATTTTACAATAGGAATCAAATATATCTAAAGTGGTCATTTAAATTTTTTTCCCCCTTAAGAGAAAAAAAATCAGAGTTTACACCCCATCTTCCTTTTTAACAACATTTAAGGAAATTAGCTAGTTTTATAAGAAGTGGTTGTGCACAGATTGTCTGCATCCATAAAGTATAAGTAGGCTATTTACTGCCTTCGTATTAATATTAGTAAATGTGTGGTTTTAAAAAATTGAAAAATAATGTTGCATCTATCATTAAAGTGCTTTATATAAAATTTAAAGAAAATAGGGAGACGTTTTCTCTCATAAAAACCTCAGATGTTTAGAAACTAAAAATATGACCCATGTATGAAAATGAGCAGTTAATTTTCCTGCATTATGTATTTCAGAATAAAACTTTCAAACATGTAAGTGCTAGAGAACAAGTTAGAAATGGACGTGAAAATGATTACTTAGTAGACTAAATGTTTATACTATGTTGATATTAATTTGTCTTTTGTTCATAGTATACACTCACTCAATCCAAGTGAAAATTTTTCCCAGTAAAGTAAAACAAAACTAAAATCACTATGACACAGTGTAATTTTTGTGAATTAAAAATAGGTATTTTCCTCAGGTTGTTGATCACATTAATCAACAAATAATTTGGGAAACAATATTTGAAACATTTTTGTAAACCAAATATACAAGGTCAAGGTTAGATTATGATACATGTAATACCAGAACTACTTCAAAGTGCTGGGAAATAAGCACACTTTAACAAGTAGCTCATGGTTATTATTTTAGTCAAAAAAGAGCAGTTATAGTTGAAATTTTATGAAAACGTTTTGCTTTTTTCCTCATAGTACCACGTGAAGATGCTTAGTGGTTCTAACCAACTTAGTCTTTCCACAAAAATGAACTCCCAACCTTCTCATATATCACTTGAAGTTATCTGAGGAGAAATGGGAATAAATGAATACTTTTTTAGTTTACCATTAAAACTTGGTCTAAAATTATACAAGTATAAATAACTTCTAAAGGTTGGTTTCATATGAAGTTTTTCATACAAATTAGAAAATGTGTGATAATCAAACCACAATAATATTTAGACTATTCAGCACTCAAACTAAATATTTTGATTTAGAACCTGAATCTGAGACTAAATAATCATTAAACACATTAAAAGCCTTACAACAAGGGAAACAGGTGCTAAAGGTAAACCTTAAAAAATATTTAGAGATTTTCAAAAACAAATATAGGGAGCCTATTCCTTATTTTACAACAAATTTTTAAAATCTACATTTGTTCCAAAACCTTTTTAAAGTAAGATTTTTCTTTCAAAGAGAGATTTTACTTTTCTTGCAAGGTATAACCAACCCCCCCCCCAAAAAAAACTCTACTTAATAACTATGTTGAAGTGATTACCAAAATGGCTTATTAAACAGAAAGGCAAAAATAAGAGTATCTGGATCTAAATAATCATTTTTTTCAATAAATCAAAACTGAAAAGCAGTCACTAACACACTTTCACAAGAATGAAAAAAATCTAAACTTTTGTTTGATCAACTCTCCTTTGCCCTGAAGCACTGTTAGAAGTAAATGCTAATCCTTCTAAATTCAATTTGTCTTTTTCTGAGTGTAGCACTTTAGCCGTCAGATTAATTTTTACAATAATTACAGTGTCTCAAAGATTTTTCCTATAATTATTGCCTTCACAAAAGCCTAATCTATTTAACTTTCCTATAATGCATGAATTAGTAGACTAAGTCACTGAATCAAATTAAACCTGTGCAAAGTTAAACAGAAGATTTCTATTATAAACATAAGCCAAAATAAATGCATATACTTTACATTAAAAGGAAAGTACTGACCCTATGTCATCTACCTAAAACTACACTGCACTATCCTATAGAAGGTAAATTCTGAAGTTAACTTTTGTTCCCAAACCACTAAAGGTCACTGAAGAGGTAAATGCAATATGCACATTACTCTTGCAGTTCTCACTGCCATGAGATACATGGAAGTAAATATGTGTTAAAATGGGACCAACTATAAATTATGGCCAAATGATTTTTTTTTAAGTTCGATGGGGAGAAAAAGCAAAACTCTGTAACTGTTCCTCACCAGACAAGAGCCTTAGATCTTGTACTTCGGCCTTTGGTTTTGTTTCCTTCAGGTGAATTGGAAGCATTTGCCTTATGAGTTTTCTTATGATGTTCAAGATAAGTCTTTTTGGCAAATGCTTTTCCACATTTATTGCATCTGTGAAGAGAAAAGTTTTTTGTGACTTTTACTTCAATACCGACGTCAGCTACCTCATACTTTTTACTAGGAGAATTGGAAGTGCCGTCCTGTTTTGAATCGTTATGTTTTGCTTCGTCCCTTGAAGGGCCTCTTTTAGCCACTTTATTTAGAACAAAATCAATAGGCTTTTTTATAGCTCTGATCTCTAAACTCGCTGTTATTTTCCCAAGATAGCGAGATGACTTTTTATGAACCACAGTTATATGTCGTATCACATCACGTTTCCGACGAGTTTCGTAAGTGCAAAGAGGACACTTGTAGAATTTAACATAAATGTTATTTCCATCTGTGTGCAACTCGATGTGTTTAGTCAAGTTCTGTTTGGAAGTAAACTGACGTTTACAAAGTTTACAGTAAAGTTGCTTAAAGTCAAAGCCGGCTGAAAGTTTTGGTTTCCTGGTTTTTTGCTGGCCACCTGCAGCCGACGGACTAGTTGATTTAGGGCTTTCAGAGTCTTGTTTAAGTTTATTTTTCTGTGCTGCCGGTGTGTTCCTTTTTTCATTTGAATGATTTGTTCCCTTTAATTCATTCTGTGGAGAATGGGTAATGGAAGGGGGTGAAGATTCTACAGAATCTGCTGGTTCAACTTTAACTTTTATTTCTGAACTGTTGGCAGTATTATTAGGGCCTTTCTCTCTTTTAGAGTTTGTTCCAGAAAGAGTTATCTTGTGAACAATTTGCATATGTCTTTTAAGCATTATTTGTGAACTATATTTCCTCTTGCAAAGGAGGCATTTGCATGCAGTTAAATTGTATTCAGCCTTTGAAGACGACTTTTGTTTTCGAGTCTTAAAAGATTTTTTAGGAGAAACAGAATCCAGGAACAAAGGTTGCCCGGGCTTTGTTGCTATATCAGGAGTAATTGAATCCCTCCTTAGTCCTCTATGAACTTCATCAAAATGCCTCCTTACATTCGCTTTTGTAGCAAATGATTTACAACATACTGGACAACTCCTACTTAATGAAACTAGAACATTCTTACTGCGTCCTTTAAAGGATTGGTTTGGATTCTTTCGTGTTTCAATGTACTTTTTTAATTCTTCCATCTTTTTCTTGTGTACTTTTCTAATGTGGCGACGAACACCTCGTCTAGAGTTGAATTCTTTTCTACAAAGACAACATATCAACTGGTGACCAAAATCAGAATTGTCAGAAGTTTCTGGGTCAGGCTGTGATTCCTGAGGCTGTTCATCAGATGCTGGTGCAACTTCATCAGCAACAATCTCAACAGGAGGAGGTTCCACAGTTTCCACCTCTGTGTCTGTAACTGTTACTGTTTTCGACTGTTCAGTGCTAGTTTCCTGTATTTGAACTTCAGTTTGCTCAGGAGTACCACTTGACTCTGTGACTTCAGTAGGATTATCAGTCCTTGAAATGTACTGAAATACTGCATTTTGATTAGTTTCTATGGGTTCTAACTTAATAATATATTCTCGTTTGTCCACACTTGGATATATGGCTTCTAGGAGATCATTTATGGCTTGGCTTTGTTTATCATTTACGTCAGGAAGGTCTGTTAAGAAATAAACAACATTTTAATCTGAAATAACTGGCCTGCTCTCGCCCTCTAATATTTTAAAATGATAAAAACTAATATTAGCTAAACTAAAATTGGCAAAGAATAATTACCAAGAAATACATGAACGTTCTACTAATATTTTTATTAAAAGGTTGAATTTAAAACTAATTTCCTATGGACAATAATTTATACTTCAATGTTAAAAAGAAGTACAGTAATATCAAACAATAGTAGAAAAAGCTTATGGACAAATAAATTTTCATCTCTCTATACCCGTTAGTATACATTAAGCCAGTTTCTTAACAATAAGTAAAGCAGTACTTTGATATTTAGAGTTTGCATTTCATCCTCATGCCAAAAAGTTTAAGGTGAAAAAAATGCATAAAATCCCTAATGTCTGTACAGTATTGGACTGTCAAATAAGTTCTATTATTTTCTAAGTCCAGAGTTAAATCTCAGAATAAGAAATAACCTATTATTAAACTATTTTAAAATAATTTACACTAGTTACTGAAAGCAAGAAAATAATATCATACTACATATTGGTAACACAACATTAAGAATACACTTACAAACAACAACAAAAAAGAATACATTTAACAAAGACTTTTACTCACTAAATGCCTTCATCGCAAACAGCTATTTCTGATCTCAAGTTAGTATTTGATGAAAATGAATTTCAATAATAAATTTTGCTGAGAAAAAAACTGACATTCAAATCAAGAACAGAAAACACTAGTCAGTTTAATAAAAATTTTCTAATGTTCTCTACTATCTCCCCAAAATAAACTAATTTACTCACTCTGCTCTTCACTCCCAACATTCTCAAATACTTAATGGGAATCTAAGTAAGTGATCAATTATATCTAGTAACACGTTATCAAAGATGTAAAAACAAAAACTACCAGAAATTGCTCCCTTCAAAATAGCATCAATATTCTAAATTACAAATATCCAAAATAAAAACTATATGGCTCATGTTAATATTAAAAAATACCCAATATTTTAATACTCATATATCTAACTTCTTAAATGTTATCTAGGGAAATCCAAGTGCAAAACACTGATACGAGGGCTGGTGAGATAGCTCAGTGGACTAAGCACCTGCTCAGGCAAGTGCAGGGACCCGGGTTCAAACCCTGGCATCATATGCCATGCCAGCCCTGCCCTGGGCGCACTGAGCTGGCCAGCGAGACCAGGCATGGTGGCACACATCTGTAAGTAATCCCAGCACTGAGGAAGCTGAAAACAGGAGGATCACTATGAGCCTGAGCTGTGTAGTGAAACCCTGTACCAATACATAAAAAACCCAACAATATAACACTTTTAATTCTACTCTCCATCAACTAAGTAATCCATAACTAGAGATCAATACCATTTTAATGCATATCTATAGCTGCAACAGTGCAGGAAAACAGTAAAATGCATAACAATATGTAAATTTAACTTACTGTCATCCATCTGAAGACTTGGTGGGCAATAGAACTTCTTGTGGGTAATTAAATTTGGTAATCCTCTGAAGAGACTGCGGCATAATTTGCATTCAAAAATTGTATCCACATCTTTCAATAAAATATGCTTAAGTTGCTTGGTTCCTGGGATGGAAAGAAAGGGAAACTCAACACAAAAGATAACTCCAACATGCACTTTTTTTGGTACTAGGAATCAAACTCAGGGCCTTGAACTTGCCAGGCAGGTGCTGCACCACTGAGCTATATCCCCAGCCAAGGCCTTAGCAAGCATTTTTAAACTAGGTAACTAATGATAACAATCCGAAAGTACAGTTATTCTTTGAATACAAAGGCATTGCCAAACGCTACCACAGTGCATTTAAAATCAGGTTATAAACTAAGTTCCAAGCAACATCATACTATAAACTGGAAATCTGGACAGCTAAAATTGATTCCCTTTTCCTACTTCAGTAACCAATCAATTCTTAGGATATCTCAGTGCAGTGGTTCTGACATTTGATTGATTGATACAATAATTTGAGACTAAAGATATATGTAATCCTTCTCTAGAGATTACAACTCAATAGGTCTGGCTGAGCACAAAAATGTTCTAGAATAATTTCCTGCCAAACTGTTTGGCTGGTCTTAACCACCCTTTTCAAATCAGAAAGTGAATAAGTAGTTTTTCAATAGTTTCCTAGTTCATTAGAAGTTCAAGAGTATCACAAGACTGCCTGTGACTCTTCTTTTTAAAATACTTTGTACTGAGTGATAATTCTGAATTTTGATTAGGCCTCTAGAGCACTATCAATTTATTAAAAACCTTCCTCCCTCTGAACTCTTAGCTCACGTCCAACTGTATCTGTATAATTACTAGTTCAATGTCTGTGTTTTCCACTAGACTATAAACTCTCAAAGCAGGCAAGACCAAGCCTATCTTCTTTGTAAGGGTTCAGCTCTAATAGTACTCAACAGAATTTGTTGAAGAAATATTACTTATCTAGGGAATCTAAGCATTCTATTATGACATAAGATCAAAAGGCACAGAAACAATAAATGGCATGATTTGGCACCACCAAATCAACAGAATAAAAATAACCAAGAATAAAATATAGTATCTTCTGTTGCATGACAGGGATTTATCTCAGCAACACAAGCTCGTGTCTGGCAAGTGCAAGGTCCTAAGTTCCATACCTGGATCCAAAAAAAAACCTTTTGTTTTTCCTTTTCAGGTGTTTGCCAAAGGTAAGATGACAAAATTGATCTTCAGAACTGTGTCTTTATTCAAAAAGAAAAAAAAACACTAGTAACAGCATTCACTTAATTTTGTCACTGAATATACTCCGAAAACTTTTGGTTTTGTTTTTGTATTTAGTACAGGGTCTACAGGGACAACAGGGTCTCACTCCATAGATCGGACTCCTAGTAATGCACCTATGTTCAGCACCCCAAAAGCTGGGATTACAAGTGCGCACCTCTATGCCCAGCCAACACCATGGGCCCAGTGTGCCCCAGGGGCAGGACAAGCACAACAGGATCCCCAGTCCCTGCTAAGCAGGTGCTTTAATCGGCTGGGGTATTTGACTGGCCCTTGAAAAACTATTCTTAAAGGACCAGGCGGAATAGCTCAGCCGATTAAAGCATCTGCAAGAAGGAGCAGAAGCAAGGGCCAAGGGTTCCATCCCCTGGGGCCTGCTGTGCCAGCCCCACCCCCAGGGCCCGATGAGACTGCAATTGAGACTGGGTGTGGTGGCACATGCCTGTAATCCCAGCACTTGGGAGGCTGTAAACAGGTGGATCACTACAAGTACAATCTAGTAGTGAGACCCTGAACACCCTGTAGACCAAGTACAATCTAGTAGTGAGACCCTGAACACCCTGTAGACCATTCCCCAAAATACAAACAAAAAAAAACTACTCTTAGGACCATGGAGGCACAAAGTATTCTGCCATTCAACTCTACCTATTAAGCTCTAGGGCTACAAAAGAGTATAAACTACCATAAGCAGAATATTTTGGGGGAAGGGTCTATAAAACATGTTTCTGAGGTCAATCTTTTGTAATATATTTACTTTTAACTTTTGGAGTATATTTTATCATCCTTTTTAATTTTTATTTTATTTATTTGATACAGGGTCTCGCTAATCAGTTCAGACTTGTAGTGATCCTCCTGTCTCACCCTCTCCAGCACTGTGATTACAGGTATGTGCCATCATGTCCAATTTTGGGGCCAGCACAGCATGCAGTACCAGGGATCAAACTTGGGTCTTTGTGCTTGCAAGCAGGGGCTTAGACTGCTGAGCTATCACTCAGCCTTATTATTCTTTCCAAGGTAAGTCAGTCCTAAAATTCTACTGGAAAAAAAAGACTGATTATCAGGTTATCATAATATTATGAAGTCCTTAAAGACTTCAAAATCTTGCATTACTTAGTTGTATGACTGTAAAAAGAACTACAGAAACTTTGGACTCTGGTTTAGTACTTGTAACAAATCAAACTATCTTGAAGAATTATGAAAGAAAATTATGCAACTGAGTTTCCACTAGAAAAGATACACATACACACACACACACAAATAATGAATTACTGCCATTGCCCACATCCAAATCTTTATTTCACTAGATACTACTGCCTATTATCTTTACTCTGAAAACTTAAATTTAAACGATGAGAAAAATACTTTACATTCAGTGATATCTCGTATATAAAAGTAAACAAACTCCTGTATCTTCCTCTAATCCACTTTACATTACAACATATCTAAACAATAAACAGCTAAGTATTATTTCACAGTTAACCTCATAAATGATTAACAAACTGTGAGAAGTAGACTGAGGATAGAAGTATTTCAGTTAAGCCTCTCTAATTGATCCTATAGGGAGTATAGTTGAGTAGATTATTAGTGGTAAGAAAAAAAAATGTTTGCACATTGAGTCTAAGATTAAATACTTGGTAAGTCCATACTAGAGGCTCAACTCTGCCTTCAAAGACAGTAAGAAAAAAATTAAAGAAAATATAGAAATCTGTTTAACCTAAAAATTCAACTGAGTGAGGCATGTGGTCACACACCAGTAAGCCCAGCTACTAGAGAAGCCTGAGGCAGGAGAATCACCGGTTCAAGGTTAGCATGATCAACTTTGCCAGACTCTGTCTCAAAATAAAATAAAACAAATTTTTAAAAGGACTGGGAATACAGCTAAGTGGGAAAATGTTGGTCTAGCATACACAAATCCTTGAGTTCAAGTCCCACTACTTGAAAAAAATTTCAACTAAAGTTTTAAATGCAAGGTATATAGTAGCAGTCTAAAAGCATAAAAAGAATCAGCCTATAAACATATATACATAAAAAGATGTTCAGGTATAAAAATGTAAGATAAAATCCATAAATTAAACATATATATTGTCTACCAGCCTCTCTCAATTATATTATCAATTTATTTATTTATTTTATTCCCAATAGATGTACAGCGCAGGAGACAGAAATTTATTCTAAATGAACATTTAAAAAGTTATTTGCCTTTAACTTGACTAATCGAGCTTAGCTATCAATCACAAATACTAACCCCAAACAGTTGACCCAAATTTATCACATTTCTTTCAAGTTTGCACATAGGACAAATGTCCTCTCTCCCTTCACTTTACAGCCTTTCACCTGTGCTCTTCTGACTATACATTTTCCTGCTTCACTAGTTTGGCTCACTGCTAGAAGATCCCAGGTTAGATGTCATTCTTGAAAGAAGCCTTCTCTGACAGCTCCTGTTTGTTATGAACTCTTCACCTACAGTCCCACTGCAACCTATATATCCACATCAGCTTTGCACTATCTTACAATCAATTATTTCTGTTCCCACTAAACAAGAAGATCTAAAACAATAGAAAAGATATCTTTGTTGCTCACCATTGTATTCCTAGACCTTGGGAAAATGCCTGATTAACATTTGTCAAACAACCTTTTGGAGAGCTCTATCTTCAAAAATACTTTGTTCTTTTTTAAATCTACTCAAAGTTGACTGGAAAGTCTAAAAAAGGGACATTAAAAGTTTTCTCATTTCTAAGTATTTCACAAAAGAGAAAAATGTATCTCATTTCATAATGAGAGAGACTAAAAGTTTTTCCCTAAATTAGCCTCAAATACCATTTCATCTTTTTTTTTTTTTTTTTTAATTTTATGTATTTTGGTACAGGGTCTCCCCACGCAGCTCAGACTAGTAGTGATCCTCCTGTTTTCAGCCTCCCCAGCACTGGAATTACAGGCATGCCCCACCACGCCCAGGGACAGGGACAGTATGGCACATGCCAGGGATCCAACCCCAGTGCCTGCACTTACCTAAGCAGGCATGTAGTCCACTGAGCTGTCTGGCTGGCCTTCTCAGTAATGATTTCAGATGCTATGTTTTTCCCATGGGGACACATTGGTTTTGTTTCAGCTACCATTTTCTTATTCCTTTGCTCACCTACAAATACTTACATAGGGCCAACCACTCCTCTACCGATGGCTAAAATTGCTGGTGACCTTGTAACAATAGACATGGTCATCTAACAGCAAAAGCAGTGAACCACGTAATTCCTTTTCATACATTTCTTTCTTGCCTTAGTGTTTTGTTTTTGCTTTTGTCTTTGATTTTTAAATTATCCTTGAAGTCACTAGTTACCCACTTACTGAAAGATCATCAAGCAGGATCTTTAAAATAAAACAGTTAAGGCTTTCAATGATGTACTACTGTCACATACCGGTAACATAAATTTAAAAATAAATTTAAAAATACAATAAAATTACTTGGTGAATCTTTTAGTTTATTCTAATGAACAATTATTGAGCACTTATTAAATGCTAAATAGAATGTTACTCATTGGAAATATGAAATTTAAGGATGCATGGTCTATGTCTCTTAGAAATTCATACACTAATGTAAAAAGCTGCTTCCCTAGAAACACAGGCCCAGAGAACATGCTCTGAAGATAAATAGCCGATTAATAAACTACACAATGCTACTTTTTTCTTTATTTAACTAAAAAAAGATTAGTTTTGAATTTTCAATAATTTCTATGTAACAACCCAACAATATTCCCATTGTAGAATATGGCGTTCTCCTGTATATCTCCTATAAACCATACTTTTCTTGTAAGCTTTTATCTGAAGAGTCAGGATTGAAGTATCACCATTCAGTCACAGCTTGTAGTAATTAAAAGTTGCTTCAAGCAGAAATTAAGTAAATAAAATAAAAACACTGATAAGAAGTTAAATGACCAAAACTAGGAAGATAATTACAATAGCAAACTTCACGCAAAATTTAATTCTTACTTTTTACTACCATCCCGCAGAAGTTACAATTTATTCCTCCCTGGGTCAAAAACAATGAGATTATTTGTACATAGTACTCTAGTACATTTATATATAAACTTTTTCTGTAGTGTTACATATTATTTGTCTTCAGAACACACATTCTAAGAATTTTTTGAAAAATCAACTTTGTTCATATCAAAGATTCATTCTGAATACTGGACAAAACAATTATCCTTCTTCCCTCTTCCAATTTTTCTGTTTCTAACCTTAAAGTATTCCACAACCCATTTGCCTCTACCACATAACTAAGAGATTAAGAATGAATATCAAATTAAAATCAATTTAATAAGTAACTAAAAGATACTAAGTAAATGGCTAAACATAGTACACATCTTATCTATTTAAAATTTTGTGTTGTTGGAAGAGAGATATAAAGAAGAACAAAGATAAATGAGGTGTTAGAAGACAAGAAAAAGTGAAGACATCAAATGAAGAGATGTGATCCTAGACATACTAACAGGCAGGACAAAACTCTGCAAAGGAGAGCTAGAAGCCAGAAGTTTAAAGCAAACAGTAGGTTTTATATCAGCCAACCATCAAAGATTTCAGGCTAGAAAATGTGCAGATACAAAACAGCCTTTCATGTACTTCTCTGGCTCGATGTACAAAAATAATCAAATCTACTGTCAATAAAACTGGTACACAAGAGTATGCTATCATCTACCATTTATACTGAGAAGAAAATGAGGAATATATTTGTACATGAATAAAAGGACCCTAAAAGATAACACATCAACCACGTAGGAATAATTGCCTTAGCAAAGAAGAACTGGGGAACAGAAAAGACTTTTTTTTTCCTTTGTATTTTAAGGAAGGGTCTACAGGGTGTTCAGGGTCTCACTACTAGATCAGACTCCTAGTGATTCTCCTGTTTACAACCTCCGAAGTGCTGGGATTACAGGCAAGCACCACCACGCCCAGTCTCAACTGCAGTCTTCAGCGAGCTGTGGGGGTGGAGCCAGCACAAGGGGCCTAGGATTGAATCTGAGGCCCCTGTGCCTGCTTGCACTGAGCTATTTGGCCAACGCAAGACTTACTTTTTTGTTCTATATCCTTTCATACTTGATTATTTTTTAACCCAAAGGCACATATTAATTGTTCCAAAAGAAAAATCTATTTAAATTAATTTATTAATCAATCAGTCAGAAAAAAAAAAGGTATCAAACGTGAAGAATCGGTAATTCAAAGCCAGACAAAAGGTCCAAAGCAAAAGTAAAAGCAAGACAGTAAGTTAAAACTGCCCAGGTAATCAATATAACACACATGGTACCGGTGGACTTTAAAAATAGTCAACTCTCTGGGCCTGGTGCCACACATTTATAGGCCCAGCACTCTGGGAGGCTGAGGGAGAAAGATCACAAGTTCAAGCCCAGCCTGAGAAACTTAGCAACTTAAGTAGACCCTGTCTCAAAATTTAAAATAAGAAGATAGAAGGGAGATAGAGATGTAGTTCAATGCAAAGGTCCCGAGTTCAATCCCCATTATCACACACATACAAAAATGGTGAAAAAAAAAAAAAAAAATTCCTTCCTCACACAGAAACCTTTTACTAACGTCCAGCTTAGGCACGAACTAATACCAGCTCATGGACAGCCCCACATAGGCAGAAGGTAACACGCTCAGAGATGACACCATAGCTGAAGACAACTATCTGACCTTGACAATAAAAGCAGATACCCTAACATAGTAGTACTGTCCAAACTGACTTAGCTTCTGTTAGGTTAACAAGAACAGAAGCACAAGCTTCAGAGTTCTTCAAATATATGTCAAAGATATGTCAAAAGATATGCAGCACCACCAGGATTGTTCTTTAAATGCAATATGTCTGACCTAGTTGTAATGGGAAGAGCCTAGAAAACAATGACTCACTGGGTATGCTCTAGAATAGAATGGGACAGGGATGAACTCACTGTCTCCCCTGTCGAAGGTATCTTAGTCCCAAAGTCATGGGACCTAAACTTCTATTCCATCCTCTCAAGGTTTTAGTTGGTCTTGATTTAAATTTTTTTGTACTAAAGAGCTACTACATAAGTATCTTGAAGAAATTAAATTTCTTATTTATGAGCATAATAATGAAATAAAATGTTTTTAAATAGAAAATTAGTTTCATTATACCATGAAGCATATATCTGAATTACCTCTTAATTTGATACTTCAGAGAATTATAGTATTTTAAGAATTTGCCTCAAAAGGCTGGGGACATTTTAAAAAGAACACATTTCATAAAAACAAAAATGGCTAGGGAATTATACCATTTCAGATTACCCACTTCAGTCCCTATTCTTTTTTAACACATTGCATACATCCTTCCTAGTGGTTAATTGCTCTACAAGATGCGGACATGATATCCTATTTACAAACATCATTAGAACAAATCACTCTATTCATTAAGAAAATGTAACTATATATCTAACCTAACCACTTTGAATACACAGATACAAAATGGACATTCATCTGTATACCCTTTTCTTGTTAAGTTCTGTTATTTGAATATTACAGGTGTGTAAACTCAGCAAAATATTCTAAAAGAGTCCAGTAGCCCATAATAGTATTGGGTCTTCCACTTGACTGGCAATGTCAGAAATTGTTGACCTGAGTCCCCTACAGCTCAACATAACAGCATGGCTTTACTTCTTATATTTCGTTTTTATACTTTTCTACTGGATGGTTAAGACCAAAGTAAAGCAGGACATATGCAACAAGAGTTGTAGCTTTTGGGTCTGATAAGGTCAGTAAAATCCCCTCAGGATTTATCCTGAGATCCTGTACCTCAGATTGTAGATCCTTTGTCAGTGTCAGCCATGTGGATGAGTCACGGCCATTGCTTGGCCAGTGTGCTCTCTGTGAAAGCCTGAGAGAATGTTTTCTCTCCATGTGACTTTCCTTAGGCACACTCTACATCATCAATCACTCTACTCTTCGGCCCCATAATCTGCTTGATCAGAGAATTTGGGACACTACCGAGTTACATGACATTACAGTACAAGTTCTCATATGTCCTGAGTCTTAATTGACCATGGAAGGATAGGACCAAAATGCTGGCTTTCCTTGCGGCCCTCCTTTTCTCTAATTTTGGCCTGCAAACTTAGGCTGTTAACCATCCAGAAGACAAGCTTGTTGTTATTATCGAACAAATTAGGCTGTTAAGCTTAACCTCACTATCTGTCTAAATCTCAAACATCTTAGGCATAACATGGAACAGGTATTTTTCATCAAGTATTGATATGTTGAACTTTAAGTCCCTACTCAGCCCCTATTCTTTAGCTTACATTATAAAGAGATAGCAAATTCAAAAAATAATACAATAAAAAAATTACATCATTAAATATTTACAAGGACAAAAATGTGTCTTCCAAAATAAAGAAACACAAATTTTAACTGTCCAAAAAGTATTCTTACCAGGTAATGCAATTTATGAATTAACCAACTTTAAATTCTTAATCAAATAACTACAATACATTGAGGCAGCATGAAATAACTTTATTAATTCCAAATTATGAACTTAAAGAAACCTATGTCCAAGAAGTACTACTAAATAGAAAAGTTTCATAGAGAACAAAAGAACTTTTATGTCTATTTTAAAAGTACTTAAAACAATTATTTGTCCTGAAGTCTTAGTGATCCTCCTGTTTTCAGCCTCTCCAGTGTTGGGATTATAAGCGTACACCACCACACCCAGTCTCAGTAGCAGTGCAGTATGTGGTACCAGGGATCAAAACCTGGTCCCTGCACTTGCCTAACCAGGCACTTAGTCCTCTAATCATTAAGATAGTTTGCTTTAAAATAATGACTATTCTAATTCTTTATGTATCTTTAGTTAGGAATCTTTTAGTTGTGTTATTTGCTTATTCACATTTGACAGAATAGTCTGCAATGTCAGTGAAGCCTAATCCTTAACAGGGGACAAGGGGATCGGATCACAGGAGTCACAGCAGTCTAGGACCTTACTGATAACACAACAGTTCCACCAGTTCTCAATCATTTACATAAAGTGAATAATGCCTAAAGTATTAGGTTGAAACTGAAAGTATGTATCAGTTCCTAAGCTAGTGGAAATAAAAGGTAAACAAATGTATCTGGAACTATCAGGGTTCAATTGTCTTTTTTCTATCCTTTGCTCTATTAAAGATGGAAGTTTGGCAGAAAATGAACTACCTAAACAATGATGGTAACTGATCTAAAATGACATCTCAAACATTCTGAGGAAATAATCTACTAAACCAAAGTGTTTAAAGACCTAGAATAATTTACTAGCTTTTATAAGCTTGCAGAATAACAAAAGGCAACAAAGGATCTTTAAGAGGAAGAAACACTCTACCAGCAAATGTAGCACATAACATATTGTTATACTCAACAAATTCTTTAAACAGTATACAGTATCAAAACAGAATTTCCAGACCAAATCAATATATATACTGCCTAAAACTAAGACAAAAAGTATTCTATAAAGAAAACAAATGTCCACATTTTGATTTATTTTTAATTATATCTAAGGACTTATAAATTATTTTTTGATACTATGTAGAGATTGAAAATGTATCCTAAAACATTCATACCTGATCGAAAGCACTCAATTATTTGTTGAATACCAGATTTGGATGTCTGTAGTGGTTGCTGTAACAAAGGAGGATCTCCAGGCTCCAGGATATAAACTACATGGAAGACAAATACCCATCCCAAACCCCACAAGAAAGGGTTAAATTATTTACTATTGAAGCAAAACAATGGTTTACTACAATTATGTTAATAACAATCACATTTACATGTACTTACATGTGTAAAATTTACCATCATCTTTTACAGGCGAGATAAAATAGCAGAGGGAGAAACTAAAATGATTATCAATTAAAAGCTATACTCAAGGCTAGGTATCAGTTTTAAACGTGAAGACTTTATTTCAATATCATTTAGTACAAATATTTTATGTTTGCCTTTTTACTCTTCTTAAAGAGGAACCATTCAATGTATTTAATAAAAATGCTAAAGCAGTATGGCCTAGCCACACCTAATTAATGATTTCAAAAAGGCTATCAGGAGCAGCTCTCTGGACAACTAAACAAGCAAAATTCAAAACTTACTGCCTCAGCAAGTAACTGGACAAGTTCACAATGATCCTTGTATGAAAATTTTCACTGAAGTCTCCAGCAGGGTGTACAATTAAGAGACATATCACACAACTTAAAAGTCTCTTGATGAGGACCGGACTATAACTATGAAATAGCCATAGAGCAGAAGCTCTCACAATTCTCAGAAAGCATGAGCTAGATCTATAGGGTCTGACAAGTGAAGATAGCAATAACTGCTAAGCAGTAAAAACAGGTCATTGAATATGGTCCTATTTACATTAATACTATTTACACAGATATAGAAATGCATTAAGTTTAGTGTAAATTTTTGTGTATGAATAAACAGAAAAGCAGTTTTGGAGGGATATCAAAAAATTCAGCAAAAGTTCTGTCAGCTTATTTATAGGGATGTTCACCTGCTACTTCACTATTACTTTAGAACCTGGAGGGAAAAAAAAAAACTCATGTTTTTAAAAATAAAAATATTTCCATTTTCAAAAATGAAATTGTTTATTTATAGGGGTTTGTATTACTCCTACTTTCCAAAATTCTCAGATCAACAGTATAGACATATAGATTATATTAATATGAACATAATGAGATTATGTTAATATGAAACAAAGTAGCTGAAAACTAGGCTTTTCCATCAGTTGTCAGAGAGTGGGTGTAGGAGAGAAAAACTGGCCATTTTAATTCTCTCTTTTTTGAACGTGCTAACCATCATAATCCAGGATATCCACTTGGTGTGAGGAGATAAAGGTTACTTCAATAATGTGTTCTACTACTGCTTCAGGGCTCAGGCTTGGGTGGCAATTAGATTCTGAGAAAGTAACTGGTGCTTGCTATGCACGTATACAGATCCAGCCTTAGAATCACCTTTCTCCTTACACATATAAGAGGAACTGTATCTCAGGATATTTCATAAGCGAAATTTTCCCAATTTTAAAAAACACTTCAGAAGTATTTTAAATGAATTTAAAACATACAGGAAACTCATTTTGAGAACATCTGGTACTGGCAATAATAACAATGATGAACAGAGGAATTCAGATCTTGGACTGCTTGCATTTAAATTCTTCCTCTGCCATTTACCAGGCACAACTAGGAAAAATAAAACTTTATTTTCTCTTCTCTAAAACAGAAGTAATAAACATACCTAAGTCAAAGGATTATATGAGGTTAAATGAGATAATTCAAAAAAATGATTATATACCAGAAGCTAGCATACAACAAGCACTCAATAAACTATTGTTATCATCACCATCACTACCTTGTACAAATTAGCTACTTTTTTGATACCAAAAACGGAAAACTCTTTTTATGAAATCTAAATTCAACCTCTCAGAGAAATAAGTTTATAAACAGACTGACAGAACTAACTGAATTACATGAATTGTCTGAATTAAATGGATGTTTCACTATACATTATAGAAATTGATAACTTTATGAAAATAATTATTTAAAAAGGTGAAAAGCCACACACCAGGAAAAAATAATCACTTTGAGGTCTGGTTCTACAAATAGCAAGAATTCTACAACTGGAGAATGACAAACTCCACGGAAATGAGTAAGGGAGAAACTTTAAATCACCTTAGAGTCCCATTTCCTCAGGTCAGTACAAAATATGCTTCAGAGAACTCTTCATAACATGCCAACTTCTACTTCCACAAAAAAGTCTGATTTTAAAGCCTGAACAGTTTCTTAGCCATTGTTCTCAGAACACTGTTACCACCCAATCTTATTCATGACCTGAGGCACTTATAATTTCATTTTCCCATTCAAACATAAGCCCAGGACTAACTTAACTCTACCTGGAAACATTTGCTTGACATACACCATCTATGTAATTCCAATGTAAAAGAAAAAAACTTCATTTGAAAACAGTAACCAATTTTAGAAACCTTTCTATATTAATATTTCACATAATTTCCTCTTACATATCCTAGTATGCCACTTCAAACTAAATTCTTTCATGTCATAACCATTAAAAAAAAAAAAGTAAGCTCTTCTAATCAAAAAACTTCTAATCAATAAACTGTCCTAATGGCTTTCCTTTTACATCCTACCAAGGAACACAGTTCCCAGAATAACATCCACTTTTGTAAACAATCTCTCCTACTTTAAAGCTAGTTCCTTAAAGATATTCTAATTACAATGTCTAGAACTTGCTTACAAATAATGTGGGTAAGAATTTGTAAAGTAGAGGAAAAAATTATGGGGGAATTATGTCTGTGTACCAGTTACTGATAGAGTTGTATGGTGGCTACATCAGACTCATTGTACCATTCTATTTTGAAAACTTCCATTTAAGAAAAGTCAGAAGATGATTAACAAAAATACTTTATATACATCAATAGGCTCACTACAAATTCATCAATCCCTTTAAGAAACATGGTCTCCTCAGGAATAATGCTCATCTGAGAACCCACTCGTGCTTAATTGCCCAAATGAGAACAAACCAATTAGGATAGTCCACTAAAGAATTTCTCAAGCCAGGTGTGGTGGTACACACTTGTAAATCCAGAGATGGAAGATGGAAGACTTCAAATTCAAGCAAATCCTGGAGAATCTAGCAATGTATCAAAACCCTGTTTTAAACTAAAAAATGAGGGGAGCAGGGCTGTTGCTCACTTCCAAGATCCTGAGTTCAATCCTCAGTACTGCCAAACAGAAAAACAAATCTCAAACATGTCATCTTCTTGCCCCATCTGAGAACAGCCATAGCTGTTTCAGGGGAAAGTACTTGCTAAGTGGGAGGATGTTTCCAGGACCAAACAGTGACAGTGAATTAACTGCCCTACAAATTAACCAACTTCAAGCTTTCCACTAAATTAAATCATTAGATGGCATTTAATTCTAAGCTAAGAAAACAAATGAGCTAAGAAAACAGTAATCATGTTTAATCTGCTAAACTGAAAATAAACCTACACAGAAATAGTGTCTGGTAAGAGAAAGATGAAAATTTTAAATCAATGCAATTTTTCTGATTTCTTGTTAAAAAAACACCTGAGTTCCAATTCACATTAAAAAGTTTCAGAAAATTTCTTTAAAAGACAGAAGTGTCTACAACTTTAATTATCAGAATATAACTAAGTAAGGCTTGTTCACAAATTCTTGTGTAAGAACCTTATGTGTTGTTCACCATTTATGTTTACATTGTCTTTGACAGCATATTGCATTTAATAGGTGTGCAGTAATTAAAGAAATGAGCAAGCAAATGATCTTCCTAAATAAGATTAATTTTATTAATTCAACTCAAATGACTTGAAATAGTGTCAGAAAAGAAAACATAGAATAAAAAATTAGTGGAACCCATTTATAAAAGGTATTCACATCTTTATACTTCAAAATTCACAAACTCCACACAATTCTAAAACATAAGAAATCTGCAGCATAAAAGGATAGTAAAAGACAAGTCAAGAAGCAATTGATTAGAAACCAGATGGATGCCAGTTTTTATTACAGGTTACTCCTGACCCCAACAAAGTAGAATATAAATAAAGCTGTAGTACTAACTTGATTTTCATATGTAGCAAAGTTTTCTGAAAATGGAAGTTATCCCCCTCCTTTGACCTTGCCATTTTCCCCATTAATCAGAAAATTACTTCAAATTAACTCTTGTGATAAAATCCAAGTGGTTAAGTGTGGTTAATACATTCCAACAAAAAGCATAAATACTACAAATCCCAGTAACTTTTAGAAGAGGAAAAAAAAAAAAAAAACATAGATAAATACCTGCCTTTGACCTGGACTAGAAGTCTTAACTTGTCTTAGTCAAAGTCTATATTCAATGATTCCTTTATAAGCTGTACCTCCAAATGTCATAAAGCACATCAAAGTTCTAAGCAGAAAAAATATCAATAGCTTATATATTGCATCTATCAAAGTTTGCTAATATGCATGACTCCAAAAAAACCTTTGTTTTCATAAATTCAACCAGAAAATTTCCACTAAATAAAACATAAAAATACCTTTGTGTTTTATCTAATAGGATTTCTTTTATTCTGCTATAGAAACTCTGTCCAAGAAAAATTTTAAAGATTTAACAATTAACAAAACTACTCTGAATGAGTTCAATCAATCATTTTTTGGTATTCAATACTATTCTGATTTTAAAAATGCACATGTGACACTTTAAAATGAAACAATTTTCACTAACATGTATGCTAGTATTCCAAATTCTCATTTTAAACACAGAGCATAGGGGTGTATGTATACACTGCAGTCTGTCTTGGAAGAAGGAAAAAGACTAACTGGTCTTGTGGAAATGACCGAAGGTGACACCTGCAGTAGTTTCTTTAAAGGAATCAAGCCTAAGGAGACCTCCTGTTTGTACAAGCTTTTAGCTTCCTAAGTGGTTTTATGCTGGGGAAAATTACAGACTGCTTTAGTTAGTAAGGACTTCTTGGGCAGGAGGAGAAGAAATGCAGAAGGCACCACAGGGCAGTGGCTCTGATGGAGGACCCAAGTCCGGGGGAAGAAAAGGGGCTTACCTGGTTCACAGCATCCGTGATGATGGTGGTCCGTCTGACAGTATTTGTCCCTTAAAGGCATTTTCAGTGGGTGCGACCTACTTTCCTTTCACTGTAAGAAGCTCCTCATCGCGGCTTGGCTGTGGGAAGAAGCAAAGACGCGTCAGACCCCTGAACTTCCTGGGGGGCTCTGGCTGCAATTTCCAATCCGCGGCCCTCGCGCGCTCCGCCCGGCCCGCGCCTTCCCTCGCAGAGCCGAGAGGCGCACGGAGCCGCCCGCAGCCCCAACGCCCCGCACAGGTTCCCCGCGCTACCCGGAAACGCAGCCCGGCGCGCGCGGCGCAGGGCGAAG